TATGGATAACAAACTTTGTGCAATACTCCAGATCTGCAACTTCATATTCATTAGTAAAAGTTCTACAAGTCTGGTCTCATGGTACAGCATCCCATGCTCTCAAATTCGTAGACTACAACTGGAGATTTACTTCATTTTCCTGGGTCAAAACATTCTTGCTTGTACAAATATTCCCTAGCAGAAAAGAGATCCTATTTAGATGTCTTCCTGACATGTCAGCTTTCTATCTGCAAGGGGTTACCTAATAAACTAATAATCATGTTCCAAGTCAACTCTGACTTTTCAGGGTTTTCCAGATAGATGTTCAGAAGCAGTTTACCATCCCTTTCTTCTGGGAGTATCGTGGGACTGTGCAGCTTGCACAAGGCCACACAGGTTGTCTCTACTCATAGGTGGCACAGTGTTGTCTGAACTCCCCACTGTACCTAAATCACTGAGCTATCCAGCCAGGGATTGCCTAGTAGGTCATAAATACACTATATTAGTGAATCAAAATCATATGCATTATCATGGGGAATGCTACAAAAAGAACATTCAAAACCCTGCTAAAGCTAGTTCAATGATCCAGCTGCACAGCATCATGACTGGATAATGGGACACTTCACTAACTATTAAAAATAACTATGTTTATATGAATCTTTGTGTACTTATAAGTTGTGCAAATTTTATAATCTTAGGTTGTAGAGTCTAATGGTTTGTGATCCAGCTGCACACCATCATGTCTGGATAATGGGACACTTCACTATTAAAAATGACTATGTTTATATGAATCTTTGTGTACTTATAAGTTGTGCAAATTTTATAATCTTAGGTTGTAGAGTCTAATGGTTTTCTGTAAATAAGTATAGGGATTGGTTGAATTTTATATTTGCTAGATAGTACAGTTATCTTAGAACCAACAGCTAGTACTTATAACAGGAGCTTTTCCCACTTTGCACTAAAAATTCTAACTGTATCTTCTGAGCACTCCTCAGAAAACAAGATTCCATTCTTTAGAGTCTAATCTGGACACTTATCTGGGAATTTATCTCACTGAACACTAGTTCCAAATAAAATATAAAAATAAGGCTGTCTGCATATTGTGTGCAGACTTTCTCAGTTCGCCAGCTTTATCGTAGTTCCAAATAAAATATAAAAATAAGCCTGTCTGCATATTGTGTGCAGACTTTCTCAGTTCGCCAGCTTTATTTTAAATATACATTTGTGCTGCATATGGTGTATATATGTGTGTATTGTATGCACACTCATGCTCAAGGAATAATCAGTTAGCAGAAAAGAGATAAGTGAAAGACAGAGTGAGCAGCAGAAGTACTGAATATAACCGAATGACACAGAAAATAAATACATAAATAAATATAAGAATGAGAATCTGCTTTTCTCAAAAGGTTCTTTACTATACAGAATAGTTTCCAAGAACATAAGATAGAATATCTTGTTTCAAATTTCACCTTAAGCTGCTAGCGGCCATCAGTTCAAAATGAGCATGATAGGTAATGCCGAGGGAGGTCTAGGAGGAAAGAACGAGGAACAGGGCCTTCTTGGCAGTGGCCCCATGCCTTTGGAACAACTTGCCAGTGGAGATCCACCTGACTCCCTCTTTGGGTGTTTTCAAGAATAAACTTAAAACCTGGCTATTTGGGCAGGCTTTCTCTCCTGCTGTATCTTAATTTCTTATACTTTTGGCACCTTGGATAAATAATATATACTATATGTTTTTGGTTTTATTGTTTTTAAATTTGTAAACCATCCAGAGTAGACCTTTGGTGTAGATGGATGGGATAGAAATCCAATAAATGAAGAAATAAATAAATAAAATATATTTAAAGCCCACATTTCTAGAAGGTGGGGAATAGGATACTGATTTTAAGATGAAAAAAATATCATGTAGGTGAAAGAAGGTAAGTGCTGCCCTCTCCTCTGATCTTCTTGTAATTAATTCTGGCTTTCCAAAGACTGAACTCTTGCTGTGCAGAGGTAAGAAAACACAGAAGCGGAAAGAGGTGCAGGAGGGGAAGTTAGGGTGTCTGGGTAATTTTTGTTCTGGCAGTAATATCACAGATATGAGCATGTGTGCCTACATCAATGTTACATTTTTGAAGGCACTATAAACTATTATGTGGAATGGCTACTATTAGGTAATTATTTCACATCGAAGTTAAACGAAACCTTTATGGTGGCCTTAAGAATGAGTGGTCTCCAAAATGACCTGCCCATACCCTTTATAAGTGCCTGTGAGGCTGGGAGTACCTCAAGGGACACTCCTCAGAGTGAACCGTCCACTTCCTCAGCTGAAGACACTGAGGGACAGATGCCCACCCTGGAGGAGTACCTAAAGGGACTGTATTTGGAAGAGCAGGGGCAGAAAGAACAAGAGAAGAAGGAACCACCAGAGGGTATCATTTTGGCGGGAAGGGGAGAAGAGATAAAAGGAAATGAGAAAGGGGGAAGGGGCCATTGGAAATGAAAGAGGGAGAAATGTGTTGGGTGGAGGGAAGAGGAGGATGGGAGAGAAAAAGGACTGGGTGGAGATAGTACAAGAGGACTCCTGGACAGGGGAATGGACGGAGTTTAAAGTCCCAAGGGAGTATGTTGAGAAGGAATGGAGGAGAAAAATCTATAGAAAGCCACCTTACTGTGGTGCGATGGAAGAAAGAGAACAGAGGAGAAAATTCAGGGAGTGGCAGCAGCAGAAGGCACAAAGGAGAACAAGCCATGTCCAGACCATCTTGGGAAATCCTGTGGGATGAGCCCATTGAGACCGGAGGATGAGACAAAACATGGGAAAGAAAGAATGGGACCCGCAGGTGGGCTGGGTTTTCCACCTTTCCCAATAAGGTCAGCTGCAGATGTGCCCAATAGATTAGGAATTCCACAGAGGTGGCATTACAGAGACTTGTTCTCTACCCCTATACAATTAGAGGGGGAATTGTTATGGTTCAATGAGAAAGGGAAAAACACAACGTCCCTGAATCAAGAGATGGAGTCTGTTGTTAATGTTGAATTGAGTAAGTTGTCAAAGAATAAAGGATTTTTGTTAGAAATTTCTGGCATCCCTGAATCATCCATCCAACAAGATATTACACCAGATCACAGTGCCCTAAAATAACATTTTAAATAAGATATTTCTAATATGAAGAAGCCTGGAAAGCTTGCATTTCTAATTAAATTGTAGAGATCATAAAAGAATTATCCAACTCTGCTTCTAGGTTCTCTGCTTGACCCCAGAGTGAATAATATTGTAGAATAGCTCAAATACCTGTCTTATTTTTAATGACATTTTAGGAATCCCATAAGACTATTGCCAACCTTGATTTTGTATTTTGCTTATGGACTCCACAACAGTGTTTTGGGTTTGTCTGTTTTTTAAAAAATATGTAATTAGTTCATTTTGCTAATTCTATGATTTGATAGAGGATAATCACACCTTTTGAATTAAGAAACCATTTAGAATTGAACTCTGCAAATGTTAAGAGATGAGTACTACAGAGGATGCACTTTATGAAGGATAGAGGGGAGGGAATCATTTTTCTGAATACACAAAAATACTTGAACCAGATATAATCTTGGTTAAGCTGTTACATAGATGGGATGCTCTGCTACCTTAGAACAGTGCATTGCTATTTCCCCCCATGATGTGGCGATGGTACAGTACTTTTTCTAATCATTCCAGATGTCCCCATTGAGATGACAGTAAGCTCTTTACATGGAATGAAGTATTATGTAACTCTAATACAGCTCACTGAAACTCATTAAAGAAAAGACAACTGCTGTCAGTCCCCCAGGGGCACACATACATGGAAAAAGACAAGGCTAGGATCTACAGAAAGTGCATCACCACCACAATATCCCCCCATCCGCCTCCAAGAATTCAGCACCACTTAGAAGATTCATTTACGTTTGCTTGACTTAATTAGTACCAGAGGAGTACAACTAGAAATAGCCTTGAAAATGCATGGCTAATACAGCCTAAGCAAGTTATGGTTTGCTTAAAAGATCTATGATCAACTGATAAATTATCCTACATAATAGGAACAAGAAGCTTTTGTATATGCCCTCATACCATTGTTTTCTAGTGCCAGAAAAATCTGGCACCTAGGAGATAATGTGGATTCATGAAAACCTCTGCATTCCTTTGAAAGTATGCTTCTAGTTTTTATGAATGCAGAGGAAAATGTGTTAAAGCTGCTAATGACATAAAGCAGAGATTCCAGTGGGAACTTTATCCTCCGCAAAGCTCCCCTTTCTTCCATAGAGTTTCAGAACCACTGACGTCTCTTTTATAAGGTCCCATTTGCCATGCCATGCCTTCCTTCCTTGTAAACCTCCTGTCTTTGTGAAGATAATTCTGATACATGGTCACATAAAACTTGCTATTAATTTCTGACTTGTCACCTGTCAGAATTTTTTTCATCAATAATTTGTTCAGGTTGACAGCTTTCATGTCTGCCACAACCAGCAGTCATGAAATTCCTGCTTGTCACGATGACTATCAGCCAAAGGGAAGAAATACATTTATAAGAGCCATGGCTGGTAGTACTTCTAGCTTCTTTTCGATGCATGCACAGAAAATTTTGTGATGCCATTCTATTATATATACATATTGGTGGCATCTAAGAGTAATCACACAGAAGCTGAAATCCAGTAGTAAGATGCAAGTAGAGTAGGTCCACAGAATTAAGAGAATTTGGTGAGACAACTCTTCTGTAAGGTCCACTAATTCAAGAGGACTACTCTAGTTGCAGCTTACTATTGGATTTCAGCCAGAGAGGCATATTTCTTTTCATCCAATACAGTTTTGCATCAAATACTACTACTATTATTACTAATCATCATCATCATCATAACCATGACAACCTAATTCCAATAAATGTAAGAATATGAAGAAAGATAAATACATAACATAAAGGCACAAGAACGCATTTTATTACACCACAGCTTTGGCTATAGGGTACACTCGGACCTTAAATTTTAAAAAGTAAAAGCAAATAAGCACCAACTACCTGACAAGGTCGATGACTCTTTCCCTTGGAGCAGTGTTGACTGGCTCATCATTAATCATTATGATCTGATCTCCTGGAATAAGTTTTCCTTCAGAGGGGCCCCCTGCAAAAGCATAATATTCAAGCACAGATTATATACCATTGTATAGTGATTGTGCTATGCTGAAAAGAGATATTTATTATATATTGTGTGAAGTATTTATTTATTTATTTAGCTTTTACCCCACCCATCTAGATGAAAACAAATCTACTCTGGGTCGCTTACAGTCCAAGCAATATAAAACAAGAATTAAAACAGACAAGATCCAAACAAAAAAAGAGAAGTAAGCAAAGTCTAAGATGTGAAAACACAGGGAACTAATTGATGGAAGGGGGAAAAGCCTGCCTGAAGAACCAGGTCTTCAGCTTGTTCTTAAAAACTCCCAGCGAGGGTGCCAGGCAAATCTCAGGGGGCAAGATGTTCCAGACGTAAGGGGCTACCACCAAGAAGGACCGGTTTCTAGTTCTCTACTTCCCAGCCTCTCTTGGGGTCAAGCCCCTCAGCCACACATCCTGGCTAGATTGAGTGTCATGAGTAGAGCTAGGTGGGGACAGGCGCTCTGCCAGGTGTTGAGGTCCTAAACCGCTTAAGGCTTTATATGTAAGCATTAATACCTTGAAGTCAATGCAGAAACGAATGGGCAACCAGTGTAAGGTATGTGACAGGCTGGTATGTAAAAACTCAACAATATCAGTAGGTAAGGAATAACAATGGAATTTTCACTCTACTGAGATGTGTGTGTATAGTAATCAGATTTTGACTATAGATGGAATAACTGTACTATTGCCTGTTTCAGATTTCTGTAATCCCCTGGTCAAGCTAAGCAATGTAAATCTTCCATCCAACTAAAACTGTTCTTGTGTAGCCTTCAGGTTTTATCACAAGGGCGGGAACTGTGTCCTCCCACCAGGAACATCTGTGCATCCCCTACCAGCTGCCATGACCTTAATTTTTTAAAAAAATATCTGAGGGAAAATGTGCTTTCAGAAGTCAACCAATGGTGGGATTTTTGCCTAAAATAAGGTGCACCCCTATGTTTCTTGTTTTCAGCCAAAAAGGGGGTGGGGGAGGTGTTAACCCACCCCCCAGGAAATATCTATCTGGTGTGACCTTCTGCATCCACGTACCTCTCTTTATAAGCATTCATTGGTTGGATCACAGGTTAGCTACAGAAGCCATTTTCAGCACTACAGTGCAAGAACTTAGAGCAGCTGAAGCCAAGTTTATTTCAGACCTATGTGGGAAGCTTCTCACATTAACTAAGATTAGTGGTATAGCCACGTAATCTTAGACTTTGGACTGTGGTCTTGTAACTCCTCTCCAGACACTCTTTAATCAACCATGTGTATTATTTCAATTGTGGAGAACACAATATAAATTGCTCTTCTCCACCCACCACCATTGCCATTTATTCTTTTACAGCCACTTCCACGTTCCCAACGTTTCAAACCAAAAGATAGTTAAAAATCAGTTTTCCAAGTCTGACCAATCCTCCTCCTCTGAGCAGATGCAACTGCCTTTTAAACTCATTGGTTAAAATCCCATTGCAGATTTAGGTATGTGCAAGAAGAAGTGTGCAAGCCGCCACAGCTAACTGACAGCATACCCAAGACATATACCAGATGTGTGGCAAGTGTACAACAGGGTATTATAAGTATCTATAAATATTCAAAAGGATTTTGAGCAATGAAATCACCATTCCTTTAGGAATCCAGCAGAATAGAACGCTGCCCTGGTTTACTTGAGACCAAGCACTACTTTGTTGTAGAAAAGGAGCATAAATTTTAAGTATAGAAATTGTAAAAACAGCAGCTGTAACAATGTACATGCCTGACTATAAATAAATAAAAAAAAACAACAGGAAAGAAGAAAGGAGTTACAACATCCAGGATCAGACCCACTAAGCCATGGGCATGCTCATACCAGCTCAGGTGTGATACAGAGCCCGTTTGCTTCAATTCTTATTACCTACATGCTTCTGGTGGTCCCTTGCCCCACCCACCCCAGCTCCATCCCTTGGAGGTCAGTCCCAGTGTCCACCCCAGCTGTGGTATTGATTTTATGCCTAAGAGGAGTGGACTGTGAGACAGTGGGTCCCCAACCTTGGGCCTCCAGATGTTCTTGGACTTCAACTCCCAGAAATCCTGGCCAGCAGAGGTGGTGGTGAAGGTTTATGGGAGTTATAGTCCAAGAACATCTGGAGGCCCAAGGTTGAGGACCACTGCTGTGAGAGAATGCTTTGTCACATGGCTATTGTTGTGTGAAAAACCCAGGGGAAAACAGCCCATAGAAATCTGCCACCTGGCATTTAATAGGTAAGAAAAGCCAATCTGTCAGGGATACACATGCCAATATGCATTTTGATATTTATTAGCTTTTTTATTACGACTCTGAAAGCCAGTCTAGTTTAGTAGACAGAATGTCAGATAAGGAGACCTGGAATGAAACTTGCACTAGGTCATTCAAAATCACCTTGGTGTGGCAATGACAAACCACTCCTCACATACCTCAAAAACTTTTTAGGATCTCAGTAAGCAAGAAGTTGTAGAAGGGGTAGCCATGTTAGTCTGTGCAAGCATTTTAGGTAAAAGCAAAAAAAAAAAAAAAAAAAAAGAAAAAAAAGGGGCGGCAACTTAAAACTATCTTTATTTTGAGCTTTCGTGGACAAGTCCACTTCATCAGACATAAGAGCTTGTGTCTGATGAAGTGGACTTGTCCATGAAAGGTCACATTAAAAAATATAAGTCTTTAAGGTGCCACCATGTTTTTTTTCTCCCCCTCCCCTTTTTTTTCTACTTTGCTTTTAATTATAAGTGTAAGAAGTGACCTGAGGGCACATACAACAACAAGAACATTATGGATCTTTATAAAGTGCAGGGACTGAAACAAATAGCTAATCCCAACTGGAGTAGACTTATTTAAACAGCGGGAGTTAGCCAAGTGTTCCTTACAGCCCATCAACTGATTCAGTGTGTCTTTCTTAACTGGGATGAGGAATTGGACTTTGACCGAGTGTAGCTGAACTTTATTGTTCTCCAAAAGTGGGCCTCCAGTCATTTCTTAATGAGCTTGCACAGATGACTGGGGTTGGGGGGAGGGGAAGCAGGGAGAACAAGTCATCTTCAACAATTCTGTTCAGTTCTACCAGCGGCACTACTCTCTTAAATGCTGGCTTTGGAATGGCAAAGCTTTTTATGAAAAGAATGCAATGTTTTCCTTCTTACAAAATTAGCATCTTATATAGTCTTCTACTGGGTCATAAAGCCATACCTCAATCAAAAAGAGGAAACCATACCTGGCGTTACAGAGCGCACCACCACCGGCTTCTCACTGCCCGCTACAAAACCAAATCCCAGCACCGGATCTCTCCGCATTTCCACTTTCCGAGGGGCTGGAGGTGTAATTTGGCAGCTGTCTATTCGCGGGTCATCAAAAGGGGCAGATTGTGTCATGTGACTAAGAGAAAATAAAAAAAATAAAAAAATTATATATATAATTGTATTTTAAGGGCTATCTACACAGAGTCCATAATGACATGGTGATAAATGAAAGACAGACGTTGTTTTATTTATGATTCGGTTGTAGTAAGTTGTTTTAACAGTGCATGTTGCTTTGAACATGGGAAAGCAATTTACATTTTTAAAGCAAACATATCGAACTTGGGGTTGGGCATTCTGCAGCTTCAGGGTGAGGTGCATTCTCCAGACTGATTTCATGTAGCTCTCTGCCTAAATTCAAAGGCCATTTGCAAAACCATCAATTCATACCTCTAGCTTTAGGGATCAGTTCCTTTCCCAGAAACCTATGGGATGGCAAGGAAGGCACAGAAAAAAAGTGTGTTCTCCCTTAACAGAAAAAAGAAAGAGGAAAGGGGCCTAACACCCTTAGGCTTCCCTTGGCATATTACCCTGGAGGAATGTGGTTCTCAACAGAAAAATAAAAAGTCTCCCACCACTGATCTCTCTAGATCAGTGGTTCCCAACCTTCCCAGGTATTCTTGGACTGCAACTCCCAGAAGCCTTCACCATTAGCTGTGCTGGCCAGTGTTACTGGGAGCTGCACCTGGGCTACTTGAGGTTGGGAACCACTGCTCTATACAATTTTTTTATCTGCCCAATCTCAAGGGCAGTGGTTCTGAACATTTGACTCTTCATATGTTTTGGACTTCAACTGCCAGACATCACAGTCAGCATGGCCAACAATCAGGGATTTGGGGAGCTAATATCCCAAAATCTGGAGGGCTGGGGCTCTAAGGTTCTCAGAACAGTATAAAAAGGAGAAAAAACAAAAAGGGAGTTCTATAAAGTATTATGATATAAAATCTCTGCTTAGGAAATGATGGGCAATTTAAGTAACACATTAGCCTAGCTTTCCTATAGGACTTTCCTCTGTTGTGACAACCTGAGTGTCAGGACAGCTGACAGGGTTTAGATTCTTGGTCTTGATTCCAGAAACTATCATACTGTATTATTCTACTTTGTTCCAAAGTATTTATAAATTGCCTCTTCATCCATGATGGCAGATGATATACAAAATTCAAACAGAGTAAGACTAAAAGGAAGACATCACAGCTATAAAAAAGATAAGGCAAAGCTTTTACTGCCTTTCCAAGAATAATAAAGTGGGCCTAGTTTGACTTTTTCTGCTACAGAAAAGCCCCTGTCTTGAGTACCTCCCAAACTAGCCTTTCTACGTAGGGTAACAGGCAGCTGACAAGAACAGCAAATTACAGGAATGTCCATCTGGAACAAGTGCCCTTCAGATCCCTTGGACCAAAACCATCCAGTTTTTATAGGTTAGAACCAGCATCTTAAATTGGGCTTAGGAATAATTTACATCAGACTTTAAAAATTAAAGCCATATTGCTAATGAGGACCTAAATATCAAGATCCCACTGATTTAAAGGGCCTGTTGGATAATCAACTTCCAGAGGCTATTAATTCCAAACCATATATCCTTCAGTATTCCCCAATCTATATACAGTGGTGCCTCGTAGAACGAGCGCCCCGTTTAACGAAGAAATCGCATAGCGATGGCTTTTTTGCCATCGCTTTTGCGATCGCACGACGATCTTGCCTATGGGGAAAAATCGCTTTGCGATTTTTCCCCATAGGCACCATTTTCCCCCAGCTGAGCGGCGGGAGCTTTGAAGCCCCGCTGCTCAGCTGGGGGAAAATGTCGGCAGTGACCTCGTAGAACGAGCGCCCCGTTTAATGAAGAAATCGCATAGCGATGGCTTTTTTGCCATCGCTTTTGCGATCGCACGACGATCTTGCCTATGGGGAAAAATCGCTTTGCGATTTTTCCCCATAGGCACCATTTTCCCCCAGCTGAGCGGCGGGAGCTTTGAAGCCCCGCTGCTCAGCTGGGGGAAAATGTCGGCAGTGGGCTGCGGCCTCGGAAGGACCCCGAAGCCACCGTCCCCTGCCGACAATTCCCTTCCGAGCTCTCAAAGGGCCCCCTCCGATATTGGAGAAAGCCCTTTGAGAGCTCGGCAGGCTCTCAGCGGCAGCAGGGGAAGGGTATGGGGGTGTCGAAGG